TAATTTCATTTTGATAGGTCATAAAATGTGTCCGTTTGGCCTTTATCTACAAAAGCACTAATATAATTGATCGTCTTTACTATGCTTGATGTTCAGTTTTTATTATACGGATCTGGTCTACGTGGTTACACGAGACAGCAGCTGATGAACTTAAGGAGAGAGCTTCGAATTTGCTCTCAAGTGACGCTGGTAGAATTATTCCAAAAAAGAACTTCTTTATCATAGTACCTGCTCTTTTCTCACTCGAACTGAATGCACATAGCCTGACGTATCTGGTTGTTCTGTGGGCTGAACAGAAAATTAATGAAGAAGCATTCAATGTTATTTTATGTAATTCACAAGTATGCGAAAGTACTTTCCGTGCAGCTCGTTCGATGTCCGGTCCATTTTCATCTGTGGTGAATTTTACTGTTCACGAATTTCTTCAGCGTGTCGAGAAACTCGCTGTTCTTCAAAGTGTCAAGTGTTCGTCTGAATCCAAGAACAATAATATTAGATTTCCCAAACATCACAAACAATCTAAACAACATTTTCAAGTACACTCAACGTCTACAATATCAACTACGATTACAGAACAATTGATTGAAGAAACAGTTTTTAATGCTTATATTAAAGCTAGTCAGATTCTATCTCAATGTGAACTTTCTACTGTTAATCCTCATGATATGATGCAATCTTTTGAAGAAATGAATAATTTAGCATACAAAAGATTATCAAGATCAACATGTACAACTTCCAATAAAAATTCTTCTGAATCATATAATTATGAAGACGACAATGAGGACGATGGTGAAGATCAGCATGCAGATGAAGAGGAAAACGAAAATGATGATAATGAAAAACATCAACCTAACAAGGAATCTATTGAGAATGATATCACGAATGAAAATGATGAATTAACGTCAATGGACGAATTTGGTCTTGATTGTCTTCCAAATGTATCTAGTGCTACCATTCGAGGGATGCGTTTATTCGATTCTGTCAATAGTAATCAATCAGACTCTTTCTTTTCCGTTGAAGTCAATGGTCGTATCAAATACATGCACAAACAGACTGCAAACTGGCACTCTTCAAAAAAAAAACCTATCTTGTCTTCTGATCGATTGAAAAGGGTACAACAGGTAATATAATTTTTTTTTCTTCTATTGGTTTTCAATATTATTTTGCAATATAAGAAAAAAGTTATAAATTATCTTTTTATGCAATGTTATTAGAGAATGAACTTAAGTCC